AAGTTTCTTCTACAACTATTTTCTTCAGGGTTTTTATCATGAATGCATGTCAGATTTTTTCAAGGGCGTTTTATGATTCTATTAAGATGATCATGTGATTTTTGTTCTTCCTTCTATCTCTGTGATATATTACATTTATTGAATGGCACACGTTGAACCATCCCTCCAACTTTTGGATGAAGCATATTTGGTGATGATGTACAATCTTTTTGATGATTTCCTGCTGTTTGCCAGTATTTTGTTCAGGATGTTTTCATCTATTACATTAAATAAATTGACCAGTATTTCTCCTTTTTGGTTGAGTCTTTCTCTTGTTTTGGAATCAGGCTAATGCTAGATTCCTGAAATGAGTTAGGGAGTACTCCTTTACCTTCAGTTTAATAGATGATCTTGAGAAGTATTGGTATTATATATTCCCTAAAGTTCTTACAGAATTCACTGATGAATCCATCAGATCCTGGTGTTCCTTACGCAGAAGTCTTTTTAAAAATTATTCTTTCAGTTTTACTGCCTATTATTGGACTTTTCAGGGATTCTACATCTTCTTGGTACTCTTCTGGTAATTCAAGTGTATCTAGGAATCTATCTATTTTATATGGATTCTCTAATTTACTGGACTAAAGGTTCTCAAACTAGTCACTAGTAATATGTTTTTCAGAGGTATTCATTGTGATTTCACCTTTTTCATTTTTAATTAGTTTTATCTGTGCCTTTCCTTTCCCTTTATATTAACATTAGCTAAAGGTTTGTCTATTTCATTTCTACTTTTGTAGAAGCAGTTCTTCAATTCATTGGTGGTGGTTGTTGTTTTTTTTTTTTTTTGTCTCAATTTCACTAGTTTCTGCTCTGATCTTTACAATTTCCTTCTTTGTACTAGCTTTGGATTTGGGCTGTTCTTGTTTTTCTAGGACCTTCAGGTGTATGGTTAGGTTATTTATTGGGGCTTTATCTGTTTTTCTGAATGGGGTATTACAGCTATAATTCCTCTCAAGACTGCTTTCATTGTGTCCCATGAGTTCTGGTATTTTGCTTTGGCATTGTAATTTGATTCTAGGAACTTTCTCATTTTTTTCCTTGATTTATTCTGTAACTAACTGATTAATAAGGAGAGTATTGTTTAATTCCCATTCATTTGGATGATTTCTATCATTTCTTTTGTCATTGAATTCTAGTTTCATGCAGAATTATCTGATAATGTGTATAGGATCATTTTGATTCTTTTGCATTTACTTAAACATGCTTTATTGGCTAGTGTGTGATCTATTCTGAAGAATGTGCCATGTGCTGCTGAAGAATATGTGTCTTCCATTTGTTGGGTGCAACACTGTAGATGTCTGTTAAGTCCATTTGTTCAATGGTTTGTTTCAATTGTGACATTACTTTGCTGATTTTTTTCTAGTTGATCTATTTGTGACAGTAGTATGTTGAAGTCCCCCATCATAATTGTGTTATGTTTATCTGATATTTTATGCCCAGTAGTGTTTGTTTTATGAAGTTAAGCATGCCATTGTTTGGATTGTATATGATTATAATCGTTACAGTTTTCCTTAACCAATATGTATGGACCTTCTTGCCTTTTGGCTTGGAGTTCATTTTGTCTAAATATAAGATAGTTATGCCTGAGTTTTGGTGGATTTACATTGTATGGAATATGTTTTTTATCTTTTGAGTTTTGGTCTGTGAATTCTTTTTTGATTCAACATGTTTCTTGTATATCTCATTTTGTTGAGTTTGTTTCTTCATATATTATGCCAGTCTGTGTCTTTTGGTTGGGGAATTGAGACCACTGACATTAAGAATTATTACTGAAAATTATTAACTTATTTCTGTCATTGCATCATTGTCATTTCTTTTTTTCCCCCTTCTGCTAAATTGCTTATCTTGCCTAGTGTATTCATGCTACTAGAGCTTTGGCATTGTTTCATTGTCTCTTCCTTGACTATCCTTAAGAATTGTGTGTAGTGGTAGTTGGTCGTCATGAATTTCTCAAGGTGTAGCAGACACTTGTTCTCAGTATGAGCAGGCTACAGAGGTACAAGGTTCTTGCCCCTCCATGATTCAGCTGTGTTACGTTGGAAATAGTACAATGGCCTGAGTTCATTTCCAGTCAACTGACTCCAAGTGAATTCTTTCCTTCTGAACCATTTGCTCTCTTCAGCAAAGATATGCTGTGCCCTCATTCTACAGTCCTGCCTGTTTGATACTGGTTACCAGCAGGTGTCCCAAGGCCTGCCCAGCTTCCCTGCTTTCCACACTTGTAACGAATAAACACTGAGTGTTATGGAAAGTCTTTGTATTTGCTGCACAGAGCAGCTTAGATAAGCCCCAAGACTTAGTTTCTCTAAAGTTTCTGTCTCTGATTAATTGTTTATTCCTATAGCTTTTAACATTCTATTCCTCTGTTGTTCCTCTGGAATTATGACTACTAGGTGTTGTGGAGAAGTTCTTTCTTTATCCTGGCTATCTGGGGTTCTACATGCTTCACTTATTTGTATGTTTAATTCTGTCCCTATATTTGGAAAGTTTTTTCCTATTATTTCTGAACAGGTTTATCATGCCATTTATGCGGTTTTCGATGTTTTCATTAATTGTAATTAATCTTAGATTAGTCTTCTTTGAGTCATCCAGAAGGTGTTGTATCCATTCTTCTTGTTCTCTTCTCATTTTCAAGGTGTCTCTGAATAACTAGTCTTTGACTGCAGCCTCCTAGTTCTGACATTCTATCCTCACAACGCTACTCATAATTTACTAAACTTTTTAATCTTCTGAATTTGTTTGGTTTCTTTTCATGAACATTAATTCTTTGCTAAATTAGGTTTTTGTGTTTTGTATTATTTTGTTTAGCTTTTCCAGCATTTTATTAGTGCCTTCTATAACCCTGATCGTTTTATATGTTAAGTCCATTATCTGTTTAGTTATATTTTCTTTGAAGGCACCTAGCACCTAATTGATCTGTTTTTTCTTATGTTCTCTGTTATTCTATCAAAATATTTGGCTGTGTGGCTGTTGATTTCCTTTCTTTAAGTTCTTCATCGATCGGCATTAGGGGATTTTGGAGTTTTGGAAGGCATTTTGCTGCCTTGTCTTCTCATGGTTCTCCTGTTTCTTGTTGTTTTATTTTGTGCTGATATTTTAGGGAGTTTATAGTGGAAGGACTTGATTGCTAGTACGAAGATCTCTTTAGCTAGTGTCTGCTTCTCAGTGATGTAATCTTGGCACGGCTAACTATATGCAATTATCTCTGCCCCAAGGTCTGACTACCTCCTTTAATATGGAATGGAAAGATGCAGTATAAATGACCCAGCACCCAGTTCTCTGGGAATGGACTTCAGTATTATTAGTGACAAAGAGGTAATCTGGATATTGGTATAGAGAGAAAATCTGTTATTAACAACCAATATGCCAAACTGGCAATAGCAAAAAAATCAGCAACAATATCATTACAGACAAACTGGATACTGATGTACATAATAACCAATAGCTTACCACCCTTAAGTGTGGAAAAGTGGTCTATAAATATAGCATAAACACTAAAACAGTAAGTATTTACACAGCAGGTACTACTAACACAGTATCTAGTAAATGTGGCAACAGAATCTCCACTAACAATAGAAAATAATTCAACAGTAATAGCATAGTTATCCAACTATCAAAAAATTATAAACTGTAATGATTATACTAGCAAAGTAAGGAAGCATGGGAGAATGAAAAAAAAATGAAAAATTAAGCAATGGAAGATAAGGAGAGAAAATGAGAATAATGATGGTATTAAGGAGTAAAAGGAAATAAGGTAAAATTAGAAAGGTGAAGCAGAACAGAAAAAACCAAGAAAAAGGAGAAAAAATAAAAATAGGCACAAAAAAAGGAAAAATATTCAACCCCCACAATTCCAGTGAAGGAGGAAGTGAAAATAGAGAAAACAAAAAAGAGTTCAAAATATTTTTCTATGTTATTTTGAACAAGCGATTTCATACACAGTTTGAAGTGCAGATAGTCATAATTTTCTCTCCCTAGTCCTCCTGCTGTGGGTTTGTGAGGTATCCTGCTATTGCAGGTGACCCTCTGTCCATTAACTCAAGGATGTGGCAACCATCCCAGACCAGGCTTGTACTTGATCATATTGGTAGATGGGGAAAAGCAATCAAACCTCTGATCTGTGCTGCATGTAGGCAGCAAAGCAATGGTTCAGGCAGGCTGCTGCTGTACCGAAGGCCAACATTTTCAGACCCAGCAGCTTCTGAAAGTTATATAGTGGGTTTTTCTTTTCACCATGGAGGCAGGATCCTATTTCCTCCCTGGCCTGAGATCATACTGCTCAGTGGGTCTATTTCTAGCCTGCACTCTCCAGGACTATTTTCCATAGCTTTATCACCCAATCACCATGGGCCTGTAACACCTGAAAACCTGAAGTAAAACTGTTTTTAGTTGTTCTGAGGCTCAGTCTTAAATAATCAACCTTTTCCTGAAATAGTACCTGAATTAATGTCTCTAGCAATATTGCAGGCCTTGCATTGGGTTTGTTAATAAACTTGCCTGCACTTAGAAGAAATCACTTTTAGAGTAATACCTTACACTGCTTTTGCTGTTTACAATAGCTGTGGAGTTTTCATAGCATAGCACTGCTGGCTCATTCTGTTCTTTCTCAATTGACTGCTTCTGTTCTGAGAAGTAGCATCAAGAAATATCACACCGTTAATATATATTATCTGGTCAGCTTTTAAAAATGAAGATCTTATAAAATGTACTGCTATTTTTTTGTGAATATGATACTCTAATAACTTTAGGGAGACCATAGTTCTTGAAATATACCTTGTAATTCCTATCATTTGGATTATTATAACATAGCTTATTAGTTAGAAATAATCAAGCCCAGAATATTTTTCTTCATGGTATCAAAGAAATAAAATTATCCAAATAATGAAATATAGAATGAAAACCAATGTTATTTAGTTTACTTTAGTAATTTTTTTTGAAGAAAAGGGGAAAGAAAGCAGGTTTACCTGGATGGTTTCTCTGGTGTAAATAGTAGCTTGAAGACCAATGATATCATGTTATTTTCGATATCAGAACCTTGTGTGCTCAAATATAAATCCACAGTGGATTCCAAGTTAGACTTCACAATTTCAGATTCAAATTCTATTTCATACTTGAATACACGTATTTTAGAAACTGCTACAAAAATCAAGATTAAAATATATTTCAATTTATTTAAATATGTATAGATTGAACATCAACTTGTATGTTAATATTAAGCATGAATAGAAAATAAGTCACACATGTGTAAATACCAAATAGTTTTTTTGGTGTGAATAAACTGTAATAGTAAATAAGATCCTAATGAGATAACTGACAATGTGAAATATGAAGAAAAGGGCTAAAGGTGTAGGGAAAGTGGGAAGGGTAGGGGAAAGGTAATAAGGAAAGGAAAAAAAAATAGGAGAAAATGAAAAAGTGGAAATAAAATGTTTGTAAATGGGGAGGGGATCAGGGGGTGAAGGGAGGGCATGGACAAGGGGACAAAATGAGAACCAAGACCTGCATGTAAAGGTACAAGATCCCAATAATGAATGTAACTGTACTGTATACCTAAAATGTACCAATAAACTCAATGAGGAATAAAAAAGCATGAATAGATATTTAGAGAGAGACAGTATATGTATTTTACTAGTACATGTACATTACTAGTGATGTAATACTATGTAAAGTTTTGTTAAAGGTAAATGTGTGAATATAAAAAAATAAACATAGAGGATAATTCTCATTATCATTAAGTCATTACAATTCAGCCTTGAAAAAAAAGTGAAACAAATTATGAATATATTAATTATGAAACAAAAATACTCTAACATGTGCTCTGTATATGCATTAAAGTCCTATTGGCAAAATACATAAAGAATAAGGTTTAAATATTGATTTTAATAAAACAATAATGGAAGTGCATCTCAAACTATTTAATTTCTGCTATATTTTGATAAAATAGGCTGTAATTTATGTTTTGTTTTTGAAATATTATAGACAATATGGTAAACAATATTTTCTTAGATTATCAGGGAAATTAACATTAATTTTGTACACTGAGCATAAAAATATATTAAATACAACTATCATGTAGACAATAGTACTAACACATACTAAATTTTCTCTTTACATATAAAGATACAAAACTGCAAAGAGAGGTTAATTGCATGAGGCTCATGGAAGAAAGATCAGAGTACTATGAGTTGGCCTAGTTCAAAGTTGATCTAATTTCTAAACTCTGCTTCTGGTGTATAAAATTAAAAGAGATCTTTAGATTACATAATTTGAATTTGGAACTGATAACGACTTTGAAGCAATCTTAAAATATACCAGATCACTTTTTACAACTGCTTAATGTTAACTTGTGTTACTAAACTTTGATAAACAGATTGTGTATAATCAAGTTATACTTCATTATTAATCATAAAAGCTTAATCAAATAAAATGTAATAGACCAATCCACATGGTCACACATGAAAATAAATGTCTAACCTCCTAAATTGCATTTTCATCCTGTGGACAAAATCAGAAATTTCTGTTCCTATCAATAACCATTTTATGTTTTGACAAAATCTGTATCTGTATAAAATATGTGTTTGATTTGAGAATTAAACATGGAAATGTTCCATAAGAAGAAATAATCCATAGAGGGAGCATAACATTTAAGAATATTAGAGTCCCTGTGAGGTTATAAGATTTCCATTTTACTGAATTATAATAATAAAGATTTATTCTTTCAGTCCTGGTAATCAAAAAGAGGACTGCATGCATGCTAGGCAAGAATTTTACCACCGAGTTAAAGAAAATTCCATGTAAGGAGGCAACATGACTGAATAGAGGAGAAGCCATGTTGGAGTTACTTAGAGAAAATCAACTAAAAACACAGGTATTTGGGAGAAAGGGAGGGACATACATACTGATGCCAAAATCAGTCTGAAATAAGAGATTTGTAGATCAAACAAAACATAGGCAAAGGACTTCATACAATGGCAAATCAGCATAGGGAGACCTGCAGGGCCTCTGACTGCATGCAGAGCCGAAACTGCCATTCTGGGATATTTCCAGGAAACTGGTGGACTGCTGTTGCATGGCAAACTGAAGCCACATAAGATAGATTTGAGCTATAAGGCTCTCTGTCTCTTTTGCCTTCCTCCAGAGATTTTTTGCAGCCTGGCAGCAAATTTCAGTGGTGCACACACACAAGGGCAGGTGACCAGGAAGCTGCTTCCTCCCCACTGGGCAGGCAGGCTTGTTTTGTTTGTCGTTCACCATAGCAGCTAACTGGAATCTCAAGTGCCAAGTTTAAAGATCACAGCTAGGGCTTTGAAGGTAGTGAGTGGAACAGCACCACCCCTCCTGCACTGCTCACACTGGTGTAAAAGAGAGATGTGTGAGAGAGGGACTTGGGACATAAACAGCCTTGGGCTGCAGCAGGGTAAGTAGTAGGAAGTCAGCATTCCTTCCACTCTGCTTCCATCTGCATAAAATAGAAGAAGGAAGTGGGGCCTAAGCAGCTTCAGCCCTCTCCACAGCAGCAGCAGGGCCAACAAGTCAGCCAACAGCACTCCCCTTTTCCTGTTCCCAGTGGAATGAGAGACTAGAGAGGCCTGTCACCTGAGTGGGATACAGGAGGCTGCACAAGGGCTGGGAGGAGCCAACTATACATGAGACTGGGAGCAGCCTTGGACTGTTCCTGTCCAAGGGTATCACAGCGACTAAAAGAGCAACACAGAGATAAACTGTAAGGAGACATGGGTAGGCCACTGAGGGGTATCCAGAAAGTTGCTGGCTGAAGACTATGGTGCCAGCCCCAACATCAGGAGGCCAAGATCATGCCCACACCCAGCACTAATCCTACTGCAGATTTGGTAGGTTTTCCCAACACAGATTTAGGCTCTGACTTGGACACTAAGTACTACAGAACTGAGGAAACCAGAGTAATTTTATTTTTATCATTTGTTTTATACTCCTTTTTCTTTTTTTGGTTGTTTTATTTTTATTGTTTTGTTTCATTCATCTTTTTTCTCTCTTTCAACTATCTTTCTTGATTTTTTGATATTTTCACGTAAGTGAACATTATCTCTCATTTCTCTAGTTCACTTCAACATTCTTTTGCTTTCTCCTTCATTCTTTCTCTCCTACACCTTCTTATTCAGTTTCTTATAGCCTGGATTATCAGCCTTTGTCTTGAACTTTGCTTCTACTATATTTCTCATTTATCTATTTTTTCTCTATCCCTCTTAAAATACTCCCCCATACAGTAAAATCACTCCAGTAAAGGGAAACTCACTGCATACAATTTCCTGATTTACATTGGATTTTGTTATATAACAGTTGATCTTGTTCCTATGGGTAAAGATACTAAATTGATAGTTACCACAATTTGTGAGTTTCTAGGCTGTGCTCAATGCTATCATTCTTGCTAACTGTACTACTTTAGCCAAGGTGTTATACCTGTTGTAGTCTGTTGTTCTCCCCTTGTATGACAACACTGTGGTTGTCTAATCAACACCATACTCCAGTACTAAAAGACTGGGTGCTGAGTAAAATAGCCACTTCTTATTCCTACAAATTAGGAAGGTAGAATCTTGGAACAGACCACAGAGGCCATCTCTGAGGAATAGATACTTCATAGGGAATTTTTGATAGTAATGATAAAGCTACCTATCATAAGCAATTTATCAGCATCAACATAGAAAACAAATTAAAATCTAAAAAATAGAAACTTACAAGACACAGAAGCAAAATACAACCCCAGACCTCCAGGCCACCCAGGAGAAGTCAAGGTGATGAGACGGAGGAAATCAGAATCTACCCACAGTAATTTTCTGAAATGGGAGCTGTAAAAGTAAAAGGAAAAAAAAAACAGTATAATGAGGCTATAGTGAAAATCAGATAAGAAATAATGTCTCAGGTAAAAAAAGAGATAATGATCATAAATAAAGGACTTGCTCAGTGAATGTATAGTGGACAAATATAAACAATAGTGGAGCTTAGGAAAATGATGGAAACCATGAATGTCCAATATAGAAAAAAAAAATAGAATCCATGGAACAGATTCAAACAGGTATCTGGGAGATTAAAAACTCCATGGAAAGTATACATAGAAAAATGAACAAAGGTGAGGAAAGAATATCAGGTCTAGAAGACAAAATTGCAGTTAGCAATCATGAAAAGATAAAGATAGCATGGATGAAAGACAATCAATGCCAAAGCTGTAAGATGATGCAAAGAAGAACAACATAAGATTGAATGGAGTTTTTGTAAAATCAGAAGACAGTGCAAATGATATAAAAAATCTCTTCACAGAAGAATGGCAGAAAATTTCCTAAATGTAGAAAAAGAATTGAACATACAAATAAGTTAGGCATAAAGAACTCCAATTAGTCATGGCCAAAGTAACTCTACAACAATGCATATAATTATTAAAATTCCAGAAATTCAGGACAAGAACAGAATATAAAAAGCTGTTAGAAAAAGAGAAATCAACTTTGAATGAAAGCCCATCAGGATCATAGTAGACTTATCACTGTAAACCCTTAAACCAAGGCGAGATTGGAGTGAAGCATTTCAAGTCCTGAAAGAAAACAACCTCCAGCCCAGATCGAAGTACCCTGCAAAGCTATCTTTCAAAATCAATGAATAAATAAGGCTCTCCCATAACAAAGGAAAACTGAAGAAATTCATGACCAACAAACAAGCTTTCCACAATGTTCACTGGGATAGTTTAGAAAGATACAAGAAAGACTGCAATTCTAATAACACTAATAGAAAGAATCCACCAGGCAGGGCAAACAGTTAAACAGATGGAAAAGGCAAGAAATTAACAGCAGAAAAATCATATGACAAGGATAAACCAATACATATCAGCTATAACCAATAGTGTAAATGGTCACAATTTGTTAATCAAAAGAAAAAGACCACCCTGATTTTATATACTTGTATCTATCAATAAACATTGTGTTACTTGAAAAAAAAAGCAAAAGACCAGCAGAATGGATCGAGAAACAAAATCCAACAATATTCTGCATGGAAGACACATTTAACTCAAAAATAAAATCACAAACTGAAAGTCAAAGCCTGGAAAACAATACTTCAGTGACAGAAACCTGGAAAAAAACAGGGGTAGGTATTTTACTTGCAGACAAAGTGAA